AGAGAGCAGCAGTGAGTGGTCTCTATTACAGGAGGGGGCGGAGACAAGACCAGTCACCCTGCACAAGGACAGAGAGCAGCAGTGACCGGTCTTTATTACAGGAAGTTCCGAGTCTCACGCTGGATTACCGGACAGATCTGGACGAATACACAAAGCTCACCGAGATTCCAGAAGAATACACGTGACTCTTGTATGGGGACAACGTTTGCTGATCCCGGAGTCCCGCTTTAATGGTCGCAGTAACTGTCTGCAGCTTTGCGAATGAAGTTGCAGAACTGGCGCTGTGAGAAGAACGAGTGGAGCGGCGAGGAGGGGGAAACGGGAAGTTACAGAATATTCTGGTGAGAAAAATAAGTGGAATTGGCTCTGCACATCACGCAGCTGTCTCTCAGTGGAGCTCATGCCAACTTCCCCTCTCTCACTGCGAGCGGCCCCAAAATATCCTCACCGTTTTCGCTTCCCTACCTGCGCTTACCTCCGCCGCGACCACATCGAAACTCCAGCTCGCCGCGCGGCGCCGTCATGGCAGCATTTTTTGGAAGTAGACGGCGAATTGTCTTTCTTGCAGGGGGCTAAATTTTGCTGTGAAAGTATAAAGGGGAAGGCGCAGGTACGGCCGGATCCTCTTTCTCCAGTCTCGGGATGACGACGCCATCGGCCGCAGGTTTTATTTGGCATAGGTGGGATGAGAGTTTTCTGAGCAGCGTTGTTTGTGTCGTCGTGGGGGGGGGAGTGAGAGGATGAACTCTGTAGAGGTGAATCAGAGGCTTCTAATCACATACAAGATTATGGCAGCAGCCAATGTCGGCTCCGGCCCGAGCCTGTCCAAGGGGGCCGCCGGCTGAGCTCTCCCATCGGCTCATAGGATGATCATTGCTCGCTTTCCCCTCTTTCTGTGGTTATCACAACGGCCGATCACTTGGAATGAACGGAGAGATTTCGGTGAAATTGAATTTGCAACAAAGTTATCAATTTCATGGCAACTAAATTTCATAACATTTGCCTCCAATTTTGCCAAAAGCATGTCTTAGGCACTTAGCAGTTTAGGCAAATTAGGCAATTTTCAGCCAATCCCAACCACTTTCCATCCACCGGGAATAGCAAACACGTTCCACCAACCATAAGTTTGATCAACCACCAGAATTTGGTCGCTTGTGAAACGGGGAAATAACCCGACAGCTTCAGTTCAAGCATTGGAAAGAAACAACAGCAAGTTAGTTGAACGCGATATTTCCGCCGGGTGGGGAAACTTTGATCCCATCACCTCGCAGTTGGTTAAATCCGCCTTCAATGGCACAAATTACAATTGGAAGTTTGATTGCTCTTGATCGAATTGTCACGATTATGACCGTGTTATCACAGTCCCTAACGCCAACCTTAAAGCTGAACACCAGGGGGAAAAAAATCCTTACCCATTGGGTCCTCCTCCGCACTGCGAGTGTTCCCGGATAATGTTTCCTAGATGATGAATAAGGTGATATACACTATTACCAGAAGTATCAGGACGCCTTTACACGCACATGAACTCTAATGGCATCCCAGTATTAGTCCGTAGGGTTCAGTATTGGGTTGGCTCCGCCCTCTAATGGCATCCCAGTCTTAGTCCGTAGAGATCTGTATTGGGTTGGCTCCGCCCTCTAATGGCATCCCAGTCTTAGTCCGTAGGGTTCAGTATTGAGTTGGCTCCGCCCTCTAATGGCATCCCAGTCTTAGTCCGTAGGGTTCAGTATTGGGTTGGCTCCGCCCTCTAATGGCCCCCCAGTCTAAGTCCGTAGGGTTCAGTATTGGGTTGGCTCCGCCTTCTAATGGCATCCCAGTCTTAGTCCGTAGGGTTCAGTATTGGGTTGGCTCCGCCCTCTAATGGCATCCCAGTCTTAGTCCGTAGGGTTCAGTATTGGGTTGGCTCCGCCCTCTAATGGCCTACCAGTCTTAGTCGGTAGGGTTCAGTATTGAATTGGAACAAAGGGGCGGAGCCCAACCCCCGAAAAACAACCCCACACCATAATCCCCCCTCCACCGAACTTTACACTCGGCACAATGCAGTCAGGCAAGTACCGTTCTCCTGCCAACCGCTATAAATGCTGTTGGTAATATAGTGTATTATATATATACGCACAAAGCTTTCTTTTGGTGCAATTAGAAGACATCCTCGAAGAAATTTTCGGCAAAATCGCTGATTTCAGGTTGGCTGAGATTTCCTCGCGCGCCTCTTCCCGGCGCGTGGAATGTGAAAGTAGAGAAACAATCTGCCATACACAGCAAAATTCTGTCCATGAGAAATAATTCACAGAAAAGAGAAGTGCGGGGAAGACACCGGAGCGGGGGCGCCTGGAGCCAGAGAGCCGCCCATGGGACCCGAAATGATAAACCGAATTAGTGTTTTGGTAAATCTCGTGTGCACGAGGAGGAGAGAGGAGGCAGGGGATTGGAGGAAGCGCAGTAAAACGTTTATTTCTCATAGCAAGAAAGATTCAACGCATTTCGGGGGGCTCGGGAATCCCCCTTCATCAGGGGTTCGGGGTGCTGATAATAGAGAAATGGAGATGAGACTGGATGAGTAACTGCAGAGCAAGATGAAAGTCATAGTGGTGCAGAGCAGGGGCGTCCCGAGGCTGGGTGACACCCGGAGCGATAACCGAGCGTCACCTCGCCGAGACGTCACCGCGCGAGTGCGCGGCAGTCTTCTGATATAAGAGAAGGGAAAATCCTGACCGCAAGAGTCAGATCGTCCTAAATAATAACAGCGTATCATAGATCACCGAATGTAATGTAACACAGGGGCGTCCCGAGGCTGGGTGACACCGTGCGTGCACGATGACCACGTCGCGCACGCGCGGCGCTCTTCTGATACCTGCCGGCGCCCATCTTGGTGATGGACGGCGCAGAGAGAGGAGGGGACAGTCACCCGGCGGGATGATGTATGCCGCCGGGTCGCCTCCTCTCTCCTGACACCAGCC